TTATTTAATTACATACGTTATTTACTTACTCATGACTTGAACAAAAGACGAAACGCTAAACCAATACAAAAGAAGAAAGTAATAGTTTTCTGGCTTTCCTAACTTACTAATACTTTCTAATATTGTATATACCTACGTGTCCAATTTATATAAGCAAACACTTACCTTTCAGACTTTAGTGTAACATTTTCTGTTGTTTATTTTGAATATAGTGATAATTTTCTAGAAAACTTTGACTACTTTATACATATGTTAGAGAAATGTCGTCTAACTTGTACTTTACTATTTGGTATTTACAACCTAAATGACATTTGGTGCAACAAATCGGCTGAACGGTCTCGTTAAACCCCAAGTGTCAGCCATCCCCATCCCTAATTTAGAATTCCTGAATGATACTCTTTGCAACATATTGGCTAAACGGACTGGTTACAGAGCCCTAGTTTCAGCCATAATCATCCCTAATTTGTACTTTCTAAATGGCACTCGATACAACATATTGGCTAAACGTATTAATTAGAGACCCCAAGTTTCAGGCATAACCATCCCTAATTTAGAATTGCTGCTCAGAAGCGAGTTTAGAACAGTCACTAGCGCAGTCCGAAGAGCAGGATTCACAGACAGGTTATACTTCGCTCAGAGTTAAAAGTGCGGGGCGTGTTTACCGGCATGCCTCGACTCGAACCTTGAATTTTCTAACCACTGGGCCTCACTCGGCTCGGCCCCATAATTACAGTTTCGAAAGGTGGACCTTTTGAAAGCACTCGGATTATATGGTTTTTATCGTTTTATATAAAGCATTCTCGAATCTACGTGTATTTCTGACATCATGAGATAATAATGAGCAAATATTCATATCGGAGAAAAACGCAATATGTATTAAAAGTTGTAAAAAGAAACTATTTATAATATAATTATGACACTGCTTTAGTAGATGTCAACTATATGACAAGTTAACCATAAGATGCAGCGAAGTTAAGCACAGAGCCAGTTAAATAAGCCGGGTGCCATAAGGCACACGAATGCTGTTTCTAACTAATAACAAGCAGACTTTCATCTTCATTCGTGGCATTGTAAATGTATGTTGCTCTATTTGATTGGGTAAATATCTGAATCTCAGATCATCTAATTGGGAAGCCTACTTTACAACCAGGACTATTGTTTTTATATAGTGAATTGGTCTTCGTCATTAAATCTAAAACTTTCCTATAGCACATCTTCAGACAAATAAGATTACTCTTAGCTGCCCATCTAAATCACTTGTTCTATCATTTTATAGTTGAGCATTTATCTGTCAGCATAGCGTAAAGAATCTTGTTAGTTGCCAATCTTTCCCCGAGTGGGTCAGCGGTAAGTTTACGGACTTACAACGCTAAAATCCTGGGTTCGATTCCCCAGGGTGGACAGAAAGTATATAGTCTGTTGTATAGCCTTGCGCTAAACAGAACAAAATTTACCAATCTTTTTTTTATTCTGCGTGTTTTTTACAATCATGCATACGTAGCATATTCCTGCATTTATATAAAATTTAATTAATAATGTCTTCGGATTTACAATGCTAAAATCAGGGGTTCGATTCCCCTCGGTTGACACAGCAGATAGCCCGATGTAGCTTTGCTATAAGAAAACACACACACACTCTTTATACTCTTTACTTGACTATGAAACTTCTAAAAGTCGTCATTTCATTATATATATATCGGGGAATTGATTATCTCTTACAAAATAAAGGATAGGGTTAATGTTTTTCATTTTTCTTAAAATGGGTGTGCAATGACAGTCTAACTCTTGAAGTACTAAATGATCCCTTGTTGTTCATACGTTATGTTGAAGAGTCTCCCTCACTCACAATTACACTCATGGCTTTTCTTAATCTCCCCTCGATCGCTTAATCATCTAACATATTTTTTTTTTTATAAGTTTTGAAAATAAAAGCCATTTTCCGTTTTTCTTTTCGCTATTAACACCCACTTAACGGTGGAGATCTGGTGTTTAAAGCACTCGACTTACAATGTACGGGTCATGAGTTCGACTTCCATCACTGAAGATGCTCGCCCTTTCAAACGCGGGTGCATTAGAAGATGACAATCAGTCTCACGGATCATCGGTAAAAATAGTGAGTAGCCAAGAGTTGGCGGTGGGTTATGTTGACTAGCTGCCTTCAAAATTAGGGGCGGCTAATGCAGATAGGCCTTGCGTAGCTTTGTATGAAATTTAAAACGAACCACCCACGGACAGTAAACACGTTCAGAATAAAACAAATTCAAATATTTATACTTAGTACAAGCAAATCATATTGTTAACGAACAAACTTAACATGCAGTAGGAATAACGGCAATGAAAAATTATATTTAGTAATACATATTACATAGGTTTTTTCACAGGCTAAAGCCCCCCCCCCCTCTCAGTGGCACAGCGGTATGTCTGCAGACTTACAACGCTAGAAACCGGGTTTCGATACCCGTGGTGGGCAGAGCACAGATAGCCCATTGTGTAGCTTTGTGCTTAACTTCAAACAAACAAACAAACACAGGCTAAAAGTAGTCTTCTGAAACAATACTAGCTCTACCTGGTGGTTCGCGTGTTAATTCTACTGATACCAGTAAACTTAGAAAAATAGTACCCCCCATTTTTTCCCCTGGTCTTAACATTATCGGAACAATTCCTAAATCCTAAGAGAACAGTACCAAATCTTCTGTTTTATATTCATAACGTGGGATTTGTTAACGATAAGTAGTAAGTGAATCGGGTCTTTACTTTCGCGAGCATTATTTGTTGAGCAACTTTCCACTTCCTTGTTCAAAACCGACTTTTTGGATATAACTATAAAACATTGTTGGCTAACTGTTAGCTATAACTATTGCTGATTTGTTGTACGTCTGTATATTACACTTTTTGTAATGTTTGTTTGTTTATTTTGTTAAATTTCGTGCAAAGATACACGAGAGCTATCTTCCCTAGCCCTCCCTAATTTTGAAGCGATAGACTAGAGGAAAGGCAGCTAGTCAAAACCAACTCCCGCCAACTCTTGGGATACTCTATTTTTCAAAGAATAATGGGATTGGCCGTCAAATTATAACGCCCCCACGGGTGGAAGGGTGAGCATATTCGATGACGGGATTCGATCCAGTGACCCGCATATTGGAAGTCGAATGCCCTAGCCATTAAGCCATACCAGGTTTTTTTTTTTTTTTTTTGTAATGATAGATGACATAACTTTATAAACACATTTTCCAGTGCATTCCACATGTTTTTAATTTTGTTCTGATTATATAACAAGATGAAGCCAAGAGAAAGGAGATGAGGA